GGGTGAAACAAATACTTACGTCTCTGTCCTACAAGCAGAAAATATGAGTTGGATCGAGCTTGCTCTTCTTCTTCAGAGAGCCGATTCTCAGGTGCCTCGTACAGAAAATGTGGCTCTGCTTTGAGAACAACAACACACTCCACAGTCTGTGAAGCGAGTCTGTGTGTATGTAGCGTGGAGTAAATGCGGGTGGTTCTCATCGTTTCTTATTTCAGAACGGGGAGGAAATCTCCTAGATTTTACTGCTTGTAACTGTAGTGTTTATACACTTGTAAAACTTCAAACAACGCTGAGATACTGAAAAATAGAAAAGTCAAAGTTACCCCTTAATCCAGCTTCTGGGAGGGAAACTGTTGCTACCAGTTACTATATGAATTCCCAAGTGTTTTACAAACGTAGTTTTACATTACATGGTTCTTGCTATAGAAATATTTCATTTTATAAAATCCAGGCTTTTTTTTTTTCAGCCAGACAGTGGAATAGTCTATAGATTAAGGAAAACTGTTTGTTTTAACATGAAAAGGTATCCATGATATACTAAATGGATTGTTTAAAAACTAAATAGAGTATCAGTTATTTTTCTTTGCTGTGAATAATTTGGGCTTCAGAGTGGTGTTTTTTTGTTCACATGCACTTCTTTTTAAATTAAAATTTGTGACTAGAAGACAAAATTTGCAGGTGCTCGATGGAAAATGAATCTTTGGTGCTCTGGGTTTAGTTATTGAAGTGAAAAGAATAATGACTGTAAAATTTCAAATACCTTTTCAACAGGTCTTTATAATCTCTTCCTTACTTTGCATCATGAGACTTTCGTTTAAAAGTGTGTGTTGGGTTTCCCAGGTCTCTGGACTCAGGGCTCACCAGTGCTTTGCAGGGCCTGTCTGTCACGGACACACACCTCGTGGAGGTGGACGGGGACACGCTGTCCCTGTACGGCTCAGGGGCCCTAGAGTGTCTGGATCGGAACTGGAGCGTGCAGACAGCGGGAATGGTGACAACGGTGTCCTTCACTTTCATAGAATTTGATGAAATCGTCCAAGTGCTCCCCAAATTAAAGATGAAGTTTCCTAATTCTCTGGTAAACATTTCCTTTTAGTATATATTTGAATTATTCTCAATCATGACTTATATATTCAGGCCAAAGAGCTGTTTTTAGCTTTATTTACATAGTTTCTGTCTGGCAGGGAGACTAAGTTCTTGTGTTGATTTTCTGAACCTGGGATTTAAACTAAGATTCATACATAGCCTTGTAGTCTTCTGTTAATGGAAGTTATTCCTCTAGAAAATGCTTCTTTATGGAGTATAAAGGACTAATATAATTTTTCTCAAATTATATATTTCAACTTTGTAAAGCATTCAACAGGACCTCTCTTAACTCTGTATTATATATTCATCTGTTATACCTGGCATTAATGGGACATTCATATTTACTTATAATGTTACAGTAGTCCCCTAATAACATTTAAAATAATTTTAATAGCTCATTAAAATTGCTTTGAGAAACTGGCTTTTTTCAGTTATGGTATTATTGTGTTATTTATTGGTATGCATTTGCAGAAGCTGTGATTTCCATAATGAGTTCTCTCGTGAGTTTTTAGTATCATTGTTTATCTCTGTTAGACAGTGATTTCCCTCACCTGCTCTTTTATAGTGTTTTTTTTTCTTTTGTTATCCTTCCCAAAGAAGTTAGAAGTAGAGACAGTATGTTTAGAAAAATTTATCCAGATTCACAGATGGAACACTTAGCATTTCAGTTTTAGTGATTTTATTTTCTGGTAGCCAGTTTAAGTAGCCTCCATAGTAACTACCAAGGTAAAGGTAGTAATCGTTAACTAGTTCTCCTCAGAAGCACTCTGAGCCCTGTATTCATACAGTTCTGAAGATTTCATTTCTAATCTTTCCTTTGTAGATTTGATCTCAGTGTAAAGCATGTAAAATGACTGTAATGCCTCAAAGAGTTTGAATTATTATGTGTTTATATAATTTTTAAGAATCTTAGTTTGTTGTTAATTAGAGGGATATCCTTTGAAGAAGGGAAGTCACTTTGAGTCCAGCACGGGAGGGATTACTGCACTTCATCAACAATGAGGCGTTAGATGGATTAAAGTTGTGTGAGCTTAGCACATTCAGTGGGTTTAATTGTAATTAAAACCACATTAGCTGAGCCTGAAGTTTCAGATTTATTTGGGGAATGATCAGTGAAGCTCTAACATTAATAGTTTAAGGTGGTAAAACTCAGTGTTCAGCTCTGTTTTGTGTTCTGTTATTACAGCACCTTAAGTTCAAGGAGACAAACCTCGTAATGCTGCAGCAGTTTAATGCCCTGGCGCAACTCCGTCGCGTCCACCAGTTGACAGTTGATCCTCAAGGAAATCCAGTTGTCAATTTTATCCTCTGGAAATACTATGTCCTGTTCAGGCTGAGCCATTTTAGTATGCAGAAAATAAATGGAACAGAGGTAAGCTAACCACTAAGTCAACTCTAGAATTGAAATGTTCCGTTTTAGGGGAAATAGTTATAGAAGTGGTCAGGAATTTATGTAACCACGATAGAACTTTTGAGAAATAATTTAAAATGTTGATACTTAAAATGTCAAAAAGCTGAAAATCTATCCAGAAACTTTTTAGGCACCAGACAGATTTTGAAAACGAAATAGTCACCAGGTCGTGGTGAATAGTAAATTCTTTTTGTATTGTTTGTAAGTATTCAGAGAAGCAAAGTGTTGGTAGGATGGTAGTTTAAAATAATAAAAAAAGAGAACACTTCTGTAAGTGACGGGATCTTTGTGCTTCTCAAAGTGCGGTGCAGACTGGCACGCGAGAGGCGTGGGAAGGGACGCTGAGCGTTGGGTAATGAGGGTTGTGGTGGAGGAGGGAAGAATCACATGGGGAAAGAGAACATACACAAGAAAGGAGGGTGATTTTTTTTTAAAAAAAGAAGAGATGAGAAGGAGAAATAAGCAAAGAGGAATGACAGAAGAAGAGGAAGTAAAGACACGTGGAAAATAAATGACACAACTGTAAAGAAACGTTTCGACTGCTTTGTTACTAGCTCGCAAACTGCTTGTGGCGTATCTGCACTGTGTAAGTCTGGCCTGGAGCCTGGAAACTGGAAAACTATTAGTGAAGAGTTATTTTTCAGATTGATTCTGCTGAGCGTGTCGCAGGGTAATGCCCCAGCTAGCCAAAGATCATGTTCTCTCTAAACATCACTCTGAAAGAAGAGGCGAACTGTGCCTTTCCCTCTACTGTGGAATTCCCAAACTGAATTTAAACAATCCTCCGAAAAAACTTTAATATACTAACGTATTATTGTGATGATCTCTTAAAATTCAAGCCTCCCTGTTGTAAGATGAACTGTAATCAGCTTTGCTAGCATGGTGGTAATAGCAACTGTATTTCCCTGCAGCTGATACACCGCGAGTAACTCTGACCTGAAACTCCAAAACTCCAGTATACCGTTAGACTGGCGGTCTCTGGCTCAGTGCACCAGAGCCTTGTGAAATTTGCGTCAGCCGTGGGGGGCCTGTGACCACAGTGTCAGCCATCCGTTGACGATACAGGCAAACCCGGAATCTCCTGATGACTAATCTCTCAACTGGTTCTCAAGAGACTGGGTTCAGTTTCGTGTCCTCTTGTGTCCCCTCTCGGCACTTCCCCAGAGAGGCTGTGAGTCACTGGTCAGGTCTAACAGTTAGTTCCCGAAGTTTGCAAAGCCAGCCTGGACTGAACGGAGGGTGGTTGTTTTGCCTCCAGGTGGGTCATCCTCCCTCATTCATGGCCAACCGCTATCTCAGTTAACCCCAAATAGGGGATTTATCCGAAGGTCAGCCACTATTAGAGGTGTACTAAGTAGTACAGGACCTTGAAACAGGAAGAGCAGAACAACGAAATTATGTGAAGTAGAGAAGGGCGGAAAAGAGCCAATATGATTTATTCTGATTTAAAGTTCTGAAAATGTCAATGCCAGGGATACTTGACCCTTTACTAAAAGACCTAAAATAAAACTGCTTACCCCGTCCTTCACGATATATAATAGTGTGACACTGTGCTCCTACTTCTCTTTGTGTAGGAGAGAATGGTATTGCTTGAGGTAGAATTAAGCTGAATTACAAGCACCAGGGAGAAAAGACGGAGCAGTGGCCTGCGCTGGCCACTAGGTGACTATCTTAGACCAAACAACCTAGTTGTCAGCTGAAGGAAGGACTCCAGGGAGCCGCAGCCTCGTTAACTATGAAGGTCTAGAGAAGGGGAGAGAGTGAGCCAGTCTGCCCGGCTCCATGTGTGCAAGGTGCTCCTGAGTTACAGGTTTGTCTTCCAGAAATGCTCGTGAAGTGTGCCTCAGCTAGCGTTAAGAATATTGTTTAGGGGGAGGGCACAGCTCAGTGGTAGAGTGCCTGCTTAGCACGCATGAGGTCCTGGGTTCAATCCCCAGCACCTCCATTCAAACAAATAAATAATTACCTCCCCCTAAAAAAATAATTTTTAAGAAAAGATGTATTTTTTTAAAGACCCCAGATGTGACTATACCAGGGTTTCTCAGCCTCAGCTCTGTTGACAGTTTGGGCCAGAGAATTCTTTGCTATAGGACCCCTCCAGCAGTTGTGATAACCACAAATGTCTCCAGACATCGCCGAATGTTCCCCCAGTTGGGAACCACTGAAGTACACAGACAAACTAATAGTATTTAAAATGCAGGCAACCTTACTTTATATTAAGAATATGCCCAGATATTAGTACAAGCCCTGCTTTTAGCGGCTTTTGGTTAACAGAGGAATGAGCCCCCACAAGGACAGATTATTCCTCGTGGGGAGAAAGGTGGGCATGATTTTAGAATGAATAGGAGTGTCCTTCCTGATCCAGCGCTCATGCCCTCCTGCAGGGACAGAATTGTCCTTTTAGAGCAAGGTGTGAACACCTTGGCTTACCTTGGGCACGTTATGAAAGTTAAGCAATTCCATTGATACTTGAGAACTTTTCCCCCTAAATCATTCTACTCTAAGAAGCCATAGGATTTCTGGAAAAAAAAATTCATTAAGAATTTAAGGTATCTGAAGTAGAATTCTCACAAAACACGGCTTCTAAGTCAGAGTTAACTCGGCACCTCCCAGCCATCCTGCATCACCTCAAGCCACATCTGTACGTCTTCGTTCTACTCAAGCTCGGGGAGAGGAAAACCCACAAGAATTCTCCTCTCACAGCCCAGGGAATGCACTTTCCTGGACTTAAAGACGATATTTAAAATGGACATTTCTTTGAAATTACGTTTGTCGTATCAAGCTAAAAGACAATGTCACTCGACCCCTCTCCATTGTATCTCTTCAGGTGACGCAAAACGACATGATCATGGCTGAAAGGCTCTTTGGAATCCTAGCACACGTAGCGTCTTCTGAGTTACCGCCGTACCATCTGATTTCAGTTCTGGGTGATGCCAGGTAACTAATTTCTGTGGTTTTTACAGAAGTGTTGTTGCACCAGAAAAAGGAATACATCCCACACACCTCTTATTTGTGCCATTTATGCCTCCCACAAGCACTTACTCTAAATTTGTTTTCTGTCTGACCCTCTCCAAAGTGTTGGAGATAAAACGATGAAAAAGGTAAAGTTCTTGCTCTTGTGTGGCTTATAAGCTAATAAGTTTAAGATGTGTAGCGCTTCGGACGCTGTAAGAGAGGGCTGTAGGGGCACAGGAGAGACTAACTGCATTTTGGAAGAACATCGGGGAAGGCTTCACAAGGGAGGTGACGATTTTCCAGTTCATCAGGAATGAATAGCTTTTCAGTTGGAGGCTGTAAGGGAAGGAGATCTGCAAAAGCACAAGGAATTGTAAATAGTTTAGTATAATTGGAGCATAGGATGATTGCGAGTTGTGATAGGAAATGAAACTAGACAGATTGATTGTGATCTGATTTTGAAGAGCCTGGAAATCCATGAAAACCAAAAATGAATGCATTGTTTTGTAATTAAGCACAATCATCTGATTGGATTCATGTTTTAGAAAGGCTGCCATTTGGAAGACAGAGATGGAAGGAACGGAAACCAATCTAGAATCTAGTCTGTAGTCCAGGAGGGAGATTATGAGGGTCTGAACTAAGACAGTAAGAATCGAGAAGACTATGGCTTGAGAGATACGTAGAAGTGGATGGGGAGCAGTCTCTGGACTGGCCCTGGAGAGGGTCCCAGAATGATACCTCTGAACCGGTCCTCCAAGGGAACTGCTGCCTTTGCTTTAGTCTGGGCAGCTAGGTGATCCGGAGACAAGTCCCTAGAAGTCAAGTACAAGTGCCTTTAAACTTAAAAAGTTGTTTGATTTCAAAGTTATAGACATGAAAATTTTTAAAGAACAAGATAACTTTGGGAAAAGACAAAACGTCTGAAGCTGCGCAGCATCAGAAGCAGAGTTCTCACGGGCTGTTCCTGGCGGCGCTGGTGCAACTCAGCTTTTTTCACAACAGTCTAGTAATAGCTAGCAAATGTTACATGTACGTGCCCTCTGACTTAGTACTTTCAATTTTTGGAATAGTCTACAGATAATGGTAGTTACAAAATATATGAGCACAAATACATGTGTCCAAGGATTTTCATGGCAGACAGTGCTTGTGATAGCAAAAATATGAAAACTCATTACATGTCCATTAATTAAGGACCAGTTACTTGCAGTTCTAAAAATGATTAGATATTAAAGTAGTCTTCAAGATGTCTTAGAAAGTAAGACTACAAGGTACAGAATAATTGTGCAGTGTGCTGCAATTTGTAAGAAAGAGGGCATATATTTCAGAGATTTCCTTGTGTAATTTAAAAATGTTTAATTTTTGAAAACTCATTGTCTCTAGAACTGAGAACACCAGGGTCCCAGAGCGTGTAGAAGTTTGCTTTTTACTGTATGTCTGTATGCACTGTTTTAGTTATCTTTTTGGTTTTTGTTCTGTTTGTGTGTGTGTGTGTGTGTGTTCTTTTTGTTACAGTTATTGTATTCCTTTTTTTAAAAAAGATTTTAAAAATACTGTTAACTTTTTAGGGTTGAAGAATAAAATAAAACCAAAGTCATAAGTCACTGTAAATGAATTTGACAACAAGAACTCTGTCTGTCAGAACCTGTGGGATGTGGCTAGAACTAGACAGAGAGGAAATTATATCTTTACTATACTTAATAGAAAACAAGAAAGATTAGAAATTGATGAGTGAGGTTTTTAATTCAGGAAGCTAGAAAATCACCATAGTAAAATAAAGTGGAGGAAAGAAATTCATAAATGTAACAGCAACTTATAAAGAAATAAGAAATTGAAAAAAGAGTAGTTGACCAGAGAAAGCAAAACCTGACTCTTTATGAAGATCGTTTTCGAAGGGAGCCTATGAGCCCAGCTATTAAACTTCAAAAAAAAAATGAATTAGACTATACAGAAAGCCCAGATATTACCTCAATATGCGAAAATAATTACAATTTATTCCTTACAATAATGAAACTATTGGATGTAGTATTAGAGAAAAGTATCCCATTTATAGGGGCAATAAAACTGTAAACCACCAGGAAATCCACCTGACAGAAAGTAACTGTGAAGTAATGAAATTGAGGGTGAAAAAGGAACCTAAAATGTGGAGAGATGCATATTCTTAATGAATTTCAAGACTTACTATTGTAAAGATGCAAATTTATTCAAATTAAGTCACAATTTTACTGAATTCCCAATCAAACATCCCAGTGTGATTTCTCAGTAAACTAAACAAGATGAATTTGTATTTTAGGAAGGTATTCATCATTCCAAGTTTTAAAAAATATTCTACTGTACTTTTTAATACTTCTGGAAGGTCTGACACATTTAGCTCACAAAAATTTAACAGTTTTATATGATAAAAGACATCTTAAAATCAAAAGATATGAGCAGACAGAGAGAATATGTTTGCAACATATTTAACAATCCTACACATTTAGTAAGAAAAAGACAGTTGACATGATAGGAAGAAAAGGCAAAGCTTATAAACAGAGAATTCACTAGAAGAAATACAAATGGCCAAATAACAGAAGATCAAACTCACTTGTAATCAGAGAAATAAAGTTAAACTAAAATAATTAGATGTCACTTTTGCCAGTGAGATTGACTTAAAATGTATAAACCAATAATGTCAAGGGTTTTATACTATTCAGGGAAATTCATTCTGCACTGTTGGTGGAGTATAGCTTGATGCAGACTTTTTGGACAAGATGGTTTGGCAATATTCTGAGCACAGAAGATCTAGTGGTAGGAATATATCCTACTGTAACGCACTCATATGGGCACAAGAGACTTATGTACAAAGCTGCCATTGCTTTATTGTTTATAGTAGCCCAACTTTGGAAAGTAACTAAACGCATCTTCTCTCTGGAGGAAGTTACTCTCATCCTATCTCAGATAATCCCCCTGCATAATTTTTAAGGACAATGACCAGCGCACAATGAAAAAAAAAATTAATAGCCAAGTACACAAAGAAATAAGGCACCATGTGTAAAAACTAGCAGAAAAAAGTAGGCCACAGAAACAGACCCACAGATACTTTAGATTTGGCATTTTAATTCATAGATTATAAACTGATTCTGCCTAGTATATTACACAGTATAAAAGATAAGATCAAAAATAATCTGGAGAAAATAGGAAAATTTAAAAAAGTGATCTAGCAGATTTGAAAGGAAACCAAAGGAATTTCTATAAATGAAAAATACAATAAGCTAAATTAAAACTTAATTAAGTGAGAGATTTAACAGTTAATTAGATACAGTTGAAGAGAGAATCAGTAAACCGGGAAATGGGCTAGAGGAGATTTTGTAGAATGCCGCACAAAGAGAAAAGAACAACATATAAAATGGTTAAGAAATTTGAAGGTGGAACGACTTTGAAGATTTAACATATGTTTGGCATTTGAAAAAGACACAGTAGAGAGCATGGAGCAGAGATAATAGCAAAGAACTTTTCAGAACTGATGAAATGCACTAATCTGCACATTAAATAAACTCAACCACGCCAAATCTGTTCAATTAGAAGAAGCCTACACCTCGTCACAGCAGTGAAGCTGCAGAGCACCAGTTGTAAAGTGACACTGTTTCCAGCAACCGGGAAACAAGAAGTCGTCTTCAAAGGTGTGCGTGAACGCTGACTTCACAGCAGCAGCCGCAAAGCCCGAGGACAGGGCGATGAGAGTGTTTCGGGTCCTGAAGGAAGTTACTTGCCACGTTGGAATTCTATACACAGCAAAAAGTATTTTAAGAATGAGGTGAAATAAAGACATTTTAAAACAAAATAATAAAAAAAAAACTAAGAAATTTCCTGTCAGTTTTTTTTCACTAAAACGATAAAGCCTGTAATTAAGGCAGAAACTGATGCCAGACCGACTTTCCAAGGTGCACGATGAGCTGAAGAGCAGGAAGGCGCTGCATTTGTGGGTGAAGCGAAGTGAATACCGACTGTATACAACAACAGTAATGATGTGCTGTGGGGTTTGAAAATGCAGAACTAAAATATTCTACAACAGCAGTAGATATAGTTCTCCGTGTCCTTGTGTTATCCAGGATGAAGATATAATCATTAAGTTTACATATTAGTAAATTAAAGCTACATATTGTGATTTCTTTGGTAACCAAAAAATAAAACAATATATAGCTTCTGAACTGGTAAGGGTAGGGCAGGGGTGAGGAATGGGGAGAAGGACAAAAAGAAAAAGAAACAGAACATTTGGGTCAGATAGAAAGAAAAGAAAATGTTAGATTTAACCTGATTACTAGCATATCAGCAGTTACACTTGCACCAAAACTCGGTGGCTTGAAACAAGAAGCGCTTGGCCCGCTGAGTCTACAGGTCAGCTCGGCGGCTCTGCCCCCCGCAGCTGGGTCCTCGTGCGTCTGCAGTCACCGGGGAGCTGGGTAGGCGGCTCTGCAGCCTCCTCACTTTTAGGGGGGTTGAGAGGTTGGTTGTAAGCTGGGCTACGAAGACTTCAGTTAGGACCACTCATCTCTGCTCCACGTGGTCTCCTATACCAGACGTCTTCCTGGGCGTGTTGCCAAGGCAGAGGCGGGGCTTGAAAAGAGAGCAGGAACATGCAGGTCCTCTTAAGACCCAGGCTAAGAGCCGGAACACCGCCATTTCCCACACTCCACTCGTCACAGCAAGTCACAAGGCAAGACTGCAGGGGCTCAGAGGCAGATGTACCTACCTGTGAAATCACATGGTAAAGGGCATGGGTTCAGGGGAGCCATTATGACCATCAGTGTAATAAATTTGCCTCAGTGCTAAAATGCAAATGTACTAATTGTTCTGGTTGAAAGCCAAAGATTGTCATACTAAATCTTAAAAAAAAAAAGAAGTTCAATTATATGTTGTCTAAAAGAGACACATCTGAAACATACGGTTACATAAAATTTGAAAGTGAAAAAGTGGGAAAAGATAAACAATATCAATAACCAAGATAA